TGACTTGTCAAATTTGTAGCCTTGCATAAATAATAGAGCACGTTGGCAACAGATTAATTTGTGCTTTTAGTCCTCGATGGGAAATTGATATTGATGGCCATTTATTTATTTTTGTTTAAAATCAATTTTTTTAATTTAAAATCAATTTTTTGATATTTTAAAATTGTTTTAATGTTTCAATGCCAAAAATAATTTTTTTAATATATATATATAAACGCTTTAAAGGGTAACTTCTTACAATATCATGGCATATATGATCAAATCCTGTTTTAAAAGGTTTATGTCTACTGTTTATGGATAACATGGACGGGGCGAGCAACAATCACGGATATGATGTTCGGTTGCATTTTATATGGAAGGAGAAGCCATGGATGGAAAGTTGGAAACAAGCAAAATTGCATGTATTCAAATGCACCTCACAATATATATAAACACGGAAGGATAACAACACAAAAAACACATAATCTAGACGCTCGGTCTAAAAAAGCAAACAACATAAACCAAAAAAAAAAACCGTAAATAAGACCAGCGATTTTCCTTCTTTGTAACACACTGAATATAATGGTGTTCGATACTGAATTGCTTGTCCTAAATATTAAACATGTATCATCTCTCATATTTGGATAAAGGGAATTAAGTCACTAGATGGATCATACCTCTTACCCTTCTATAAAAAGAAACAGGAATACGAGGAAAATCGGATGCATATATGTAGGAGGGAGGAGATATACAGAAAATTAACCTCTTATCTTCTCTGGCACTAGATCCTTTTCCATTCATGACAGGATTCAGAAAAATATAAGAAAATAAAAACACTTCCATATACAGTGGTTAAAAACTTAGAATCTTAAAACAGAAGCACTGACTGTATATAACAGTGATTCAAGTTCCAGAGAGAAGAAACGATAAAGGCAAATGGGTGGCTCAGAGGATGGAGGAGCAACCGATAACCAAAATAAGCCCACAGAGACAAGCCTCTCACCAGATTCCATAATCAATCTAGATCAGTAAGTTCACCTTCATTAATATTGATCCTGTTAAATCAACTAATTTGTTTTTCTTCCGAAAAATTATTAGCACTTGAGATTTTATTTATAGTTATAATCAAACCGACTTCTCTTTTCCTACGTTGTGCTGGTGCAATGGCCTGGCTCTGCTCTGGTTGCTAGCGGCTCATGTAGGGTTTCACAGTTTTGATCATATATATAATTATGTGTGTGTGTGTGTGTTATAAATTTATTTTTGAAGGGCTAGCTGACTAATAAGGTACTTGAAAGTGATGCATAAATATGGAACTATTGCAGCGGCGATCCAACGTTGTTCGAGCCATACTGGAAGAAGATGGGAGACAAGTGTACGTTGGTGATTGGAGGGTGTGATTTGATGAGTTATTTCAGTGATAGTAGCAACATTTGCTGGTTTTTGCAGCCGCAACTTGGCGATGCCATAAAGGGACTGCATCGAGTTGTTGGAAATGCAGTCACCGACGGTCGCCACATCGTGGTTGGGACCGGTTCAACACAGCTCTTAATGGCTGCTCTATATGCTCTCTCTACTCCTTCCGCTAGTCACCCCGTCAGTCTCGTGGCTGCTGCTCCTTATTACTCGGTAAGTAGCTGCCGCTCACAGTAGGATTTAGATACTGTTTTTTAATATGTTTTTGATTTTAAAATTTATTAAAATAATTTTATTTTTATTTTTAAAAATTTAATTTTAAAAAGATGAAAAAATTTAAATTATTTTAAAAAATAATTTAAAATAAAAAATATCTTTGAATTTCTTGAAAAGCATAGCCATGCTTCAATTAAAAACTGACGGGACCCAGGTTCAAGGGAACGGGGTCATGACATCCCCAGATTCTGAAATATTTTACAACTTAGTACTAGACTTTTTAAGAGTTTTAATAATATCTTTCAGTTTAACATGTCTTACATCCCAAAAATTGCTTATCTTCTTAGTTACCCCTAATACTAGTTAAATTTCTGGTTCCACCCCTCCCTCCATCGTCAAACTAATTTATATATTTTTTATTTATTTTGAATTGAACTCTTCTTAGATTAATTAGAGTATGTTTAATATTGTGGTAACTTTTATAACAATGATTTGAAAAAATTAGTTTAGAGAAAAAAAATTTAATTGTAGTTGGTTTGATAAAATATATATTTGGTTAAAACTATAGCTGAAATTGATATTAAATTAAAAAAATAGTTTAAGATTGTTTGATTAAAATTATATTTAAAAGTGATTTTAAAAATAAAATGACTAATATTAATTTTATAGTTTTTGAGTTAAAATATTATACATTAGATTATTAATACAGTATCTGACTATCTGCTATGTTTGAGTAGAATTTTTCAACTACATTGATAACTAAAATGAAGGGGTTTTAAAAAAAGAATGAAATAACTTGTGGGGTTTGAGGGATAGTTTTAAAGAGATAAATATGTTATTGCAGAGCATGTGAAGACGGGGTTATGAGGGGAGGGGATAAATGGGTTTTAGTAGAACTTGCCAATCCATTGATGGATTCTTCAACAAAAGTATGATCTCCGAACCAAAAGGAGAGATGAATGAGTGTTTTAAACAAATTTGATGAGAAGAATTTTAAGAGATTTGTGTATTACCGTAAATAGATCTATAGTAGAAAATAATGGTTATTTTGAAAGGTTTTTTTTGTAGCTGTTATTTCTCTCTTACTGATAGTATGTGTTGTTGGTTGAGAGAGAAAAAATTAAGGTTAGAATCCTTGAGAAACTGGTGCGATGTTTCTTCTGAAACTGAGTTTCTATCTCATTTTTAGATGGATTCCATGTTTTAAAATAACTGATTAATACTTTAACCAAACATAATTTTTTGTGGTTTTTTCAAAGCTTAACCGTTGATTTGTAGCCAAATACATTTTTAGTTTATTAGATAATATTTAATATTAGCTTAATTACTTATTCACGAAACTCAATTATGATCTTGAACATTTCAGCCAACCTGTTTTAAAAACTTTTACAATATTATTATTTAAAAACAATTTCTTTGACAATAAATATTAGAATTGGAACAACAACGATAAAATAATAAAAAACTTCAAATATAATTAAATTTTTTTTTATCAAGTTATAAACAGAGTGATAATTAATATGCAAAACAAATTTTTTATTAAAATAAAAGATCGTCTCACAAGTTAGTTAACAAATATAAAAGGAGTATGCATGTGAAAATTAAGAGAAATATACGTGGAGAAAGGATCTATATAGAGCAATAAAAATAATATACAGTATCAAAATATGCTTGAATGAGTCTATCTAAGTTTATTTTTTTACTTAGTAACCTCAAGTATTCATAGATACCAAAGATTATATAGGCGTAATTGGCAAAGAAAAAAAAAGTTATAAGAAATATCAAGAAAGGCAAGTATTAATGTGTTCCATATAAAACAATATATTACCGCTTGAGATTAAATCACTGAAGAAATGGTAACCTGACAAGGAAAGTTGATGTAAAGTTAGGCTTAACAACAACTAGGTTTTAAGAAAAATATTTATTTAAAATAATTATATAGATGGTGGTTAAGTGATAAAGATTTGAAATTAAAAAATTTGTTTTTTTTATAATTTTAGATTCGAGTCCTTGATCGCTGATATAATAGTCATTAGAAGTTTACATCATTATTAATTTCAAAACTTGTAAAATTAATCTTGACACGGAAAAAGCTAACTCAAATAACTATATTAATAAAAAAAATTACTTCAAAATACTTATTGTCCAACAAGTTCCAAAAAAAAGTTAAAATCAGAAGTGTCTTAACTCCTAACAAGAGTGTAGTGCTCAATTTTGACCCTGGGATGCCATAGCCCCTATAACACATGCTGTAGGACGGCCCCTAGGTGTAGAGTAATGCTTAGAGATGGCTATTGATGAAGACGTTGGCATGAGATACTTTTTAGAGTGGGTTGTTGGTGGAAACAATGGCCTAGCTGCAAGGTCTTTTTTTTATCGTTTTTTTTTCTTTCCTACCTTCTGTTGGGTTGAAGTTAAGGGTTGATTGGGCCAAGACCGGAGAGAATTAAACAGGAAAGAGACCGAGTGAGGGGGAAGACACAAAATAGCCAGCCCTAACCCAACATGTTTCTTAAAGAGAAACTAATATTTGTAACATGAACATGTCTGGTTTGTGTCAAAGCCTGGGAGAACTTGTGCTTGGTGTTTGGAGCGTCGAAGAGCAGGAACTAAGACAGTTGATTATTATAAAATAACAAATCAAAGTGCTGAGATAATCCGTCTCCCTGTTCTGCACTTCCTAACCTTTATAATTTACAACAGTACTTGCGGTACTTGGAGCACACAATCTTGGATCGATGTTACCACATTTTCCATAAACTGTGATGCAAAACCTCCTGCATTTGCTTAACGATATTAATATTATAATACTAATTAGTTCTCAAGTTAATTATATTATATGCAATTGTCTTTCAACACAGCTGTAGATGCTTCACTGCTTGCATGCATGCATATAATTCACATGTGTATATATATATATATATATAAAATTAATGCTACAGGTTAAAGCTTCAATAATGTGATTGCTTCCATTGGTGTTATCAAGTTTTCTTCATGTTAATGTTACTTAACTGAAAAAAAAAATTGCATACAGGTTTCTCACCTCGTGGTGTGCCTATAGTGAAAAAAGGAAAGATGAATTCTCTCAGTCGATTATTAATCTTCGTACAAGATTAATTAATATATATGTGGTTGCGACATTTATTATCTGCAGGGATATAAGGATCAGGCAGAATTCCTGCGTTCAGGGCTCTATAAATGGGAAGGAGATGCACATACCTTTGATAAGGATGGACCTTATATTGAGGTCGTAACCTCGCCAAATAACCCTGATGGTACTATCCGAGAAGCTGTGGTGAACCTTGGGGAAGGGAAGCTTGTGTATGACCTGGCCTACTACTGGCCACAATACACGCCCATTACTCACCCTTCGGATCATGATATCATGTTGTTCACATTTTCCAAATGCACTGGACATGCTGGCTCCCGGATAGGGTGAGCAACACACATTCCACTCTAATCACGTCGTTGTTAAGAGAAGGTCGCAATGCCATGATTTAATGTTGGTGAAGGTGATAAGAAAATCGCCATAATATACATGTCATTCTACTTAAAGTATGTTTACTTGGTAGTTCATCTTGTTCCTTTCTGCTAATTATTTTGTTTCCAAATTGAAGCTGGGCACTTGTCAAGGATAAAGAGGTAGCTAGAAAGATGACCGAATACATGCAGATCAGCTCCATTGGTGTATCCAAAGAATCCCAGCTTCGAGCTGCGAAGATTCTTGGAGTACTCACCGAAGGGTGTCAACACTTTAGTACTGCTGATGCAGAGAACTTCTTTGAGTATAGCCATAGAATTATGAGAGAAAGATGGGAGAGTCTGCAAAATGTTGTCGAAAACAGTAAAATCTTCAGTCTGCCAAAGTTCCCACAAGATTACTGCAACTTCACCGGGAAGTACACAGATCCAAATCCTGGTACTGCTCGTAATACGATGATTATTATTATTATTATTAGTTTTGAAATAGGACAACCTAACTTTGTTGTATGCTCATCAGTTGAATGGATTTTTTAGTATATTTTGCATTTTTGCAAACAGCTTTTGCTTGGCTGCACAGCAAGGAGGATATAGACTGGGAGAGTCTTTTGCGAGAACATAAGATAATAGGAAGAAGCGGGGAGCGGTTTGGGGCTGATCCAAAATATGTCAGAATCAGTATGCTTAGTCCACCAGAAGCGTTTAACCTTTTCTTGGAGAGGTTATCAGCAATCATCGACAGCACCAATGGAAATGTATTGGGAGGAGAAGAAAGCTCGATCGTCAAATAGATGCTCTTAACCTTACTGTCTCGGAGAGCACTAGAGAATGGGAACCTAGCTAGGGATACTAGAGTAGTTTAAATTCATACATCCGATATGGTTACTGCAGAATTTAAATGCGATATAGACATATTTGCTACAGCTTTGGACTCTATTTTTGAACACAGTATAGGATGTATAAATTCTATAACCTGTTGCCATATATGCATAATCAAAATATTTCTTATCATAGAGGATCTCCATGTCGAAGAGTTAGGCTGTCATATGCTATAAATCATTACATTTAGAGAAAACATTTCTTCACAACGATTCCAAACCACATAAAATAAATTTAGGAAACAATTTATAACTGATATCTAATTAATTAAGTGTACACCTGTAAATTTTAAAAAAAATTGACTGTATTTTTAACAATTTGACTGATGGAATTTTGTTGGTATTTACACTGAAAGTTCATTTATAATTATTTTACTGACATAATCATAAATGAAAAATACTCGTTAATAATTTTTAGTGTATTAGTGAATTTACCGTTAATAAATTTACTAATAACTTTATAAATAAAAAAATATAAACTAAAAAATTGATTAATGTTTAATTTAAAGAGTATTTT